TCCAATGAAAAGCGACATAGCTAACTTTCACTATCATTTTATACATTTGTATACATTTTCCAGGTTTTCAAATCAACTTCAAGATTTCTTTCCGTTTCTGTAATTACCCATATTGTTTGTCCATTGTCTTTCTTTATAAAACCTCTGGGGTTATTTAAGTATTTCCCCTCTGTAGCAAATTAATCACCAATTCAGCCCTTTCATGCAAGATTTATAAGCTGACAGTTACAGTCCTGTCATTTTTATTGAAAAAGATTGCCATGAACCTTAGTTAAATTGAATTACATTAATTCCATAATGCGTTTCAAGGGGGTGATATACAAACCAATGATTTCATTATATTTTTGAAAGTTTTTGAAGTGTTGAAACGTTTTAGCCATTTATGTCTTTAATTTCCCTCAATAGTCGTTGAAGTGTTTAATTGATGCCTTTCTTGCATTGATGAAGCCTTCTCCTTTTTGCTCCCCTTATTATATTGACCTCATCTCAGAAAAAGAGTTTTGATATTTGTATATAGGTGAGTAATTAATACAGAAACGGATTTCTCCTATCATTAGACTTTAAAAGTCTCACAATAATTGTAACTTTCTGATGCGAAAACGCATAACAATTATTTTAGTATAAAAATATACACTCATGTATTTTGTATATACATGTACATGTATATTAATACATGTATTATGTAGTGTTTTCTTTATGTTTGTAAGACAGATACATGTAACATCTATTAAAGTTGTAAAGAAATAATAACGCAACCGTACGGTGGCACAGAGGTGAAATTTGTGCGTTTTATTTACCTCGAGCGCACCAGATACTATGTCGTGGCCACGAGTCACTAAGTCGTACGCATGAGATAATTAAGTGGTGCGCATTAGATACTATGCCGTGGTCACGAGCTAATTACTTAATTATCTCGTGCGCACGAATTAATGACTCGTGGCCGCGACATAGAATCTCGTGAGCACGAGAAAAATAAAAACACACTCGTGGCCATGACATAATATATCGTGCGCACGACTTAATTATCACATGCGCACGACTTAATATCTCGTGGCCAAGACATAATATCTCATGCGCACGACTTAATTATCTCGTGCGCACGACTTAGTAACTCATGGCCAAGACATAGTACTAGTATCTCGTGTGCACAACTTAATCCTCTCGTGCGCACGACTTAGTTACTAGTCGCCACGACATAGTATCCTGTAAGCACCATTGAATTTTCTCGTGTGCCCGACTTAGTATCACGTGGCCACAACATAGTTTATCGTGCGAACGAGATAAATAAAAACAACCGAACGTCTCATTCATTCCCCCATTTTCTGAAAGTTATAGAAAAATCGGAGACTAAATCTTCGGTGTTAAAGAAATCATAGTCTACGTTTTCATAATTTTGTTTCATGGGAATTTTGCAGTGCCATACTGAAATATAATAGATATAATAAAGAGATATGTAGCAGACCAGCTGGAGTTCTGACAAAGGCATAATTAAGTGATATGAACGGCATTCAGAAAAAAACACTTTTTTGAGGTTTTACAACGCATAAACACTGTAAAGTTCATACTGGAATCCGTGCATTATTTCAGGCACATATTGGAACCCGAGTAGAACTATCGACGCTCCTTAAGCAAGCTGGATGGCCTCATCGCATTAAAGATTTCAAAGTCCATGGTCGGATTCCAACTCACATCCGTAAGGGGAAAGTGGTTTGAAGTCAATGAATCTAGACACCCCCAAATAATTCTTGATTAAACACCCAATATGTTAAGTTTCATTAAAATGTTGACTAAACCTATCAATACATACGGAATAGGGCATAAGTATTGTAAACCTCTAAAATGTTCTGCGAAAGGTAGTTCACTCGTGATCAGAGCAAACAAAAACCCGTTGTTTAAATGCTGATGTGGTATTGTGTCCAAACATTAGAGACAATGAAAAATGCAATACTTCTAAGCATTATTCAATCTCCATAACTAAATAAAATAATATCAATGATTCTTGATAAATATATCATCAATACGATAAAGTGCGACACAATGTTGTCGAAAATGAAAGGAAATTATTTCCACAATTCAAGCATCATGACGGCGGCTAGTATTGTTTTAATAATGAAATTCATCATACATGAGACATGATACAATGCATGGTTTAGTGTTTGTCCACGGAGTATTCCCAGTCGGACCAAAAATGATCAATCAACTCTGACGCCGTTTCGTCAATTCTTAACAAATCTAATTATCATGTTTATTATAAATTTCAGAAGCATGTGTGCTGAAATATTTGTATGCAGCTTTATAAACACATTTTTGTAATGGGAATTTTCCCCTGATATTTATCCCAACAATTTCTGTTATAAAATATCACATTTTCTAAGTAATATAGTACCAATTAAATGTTCATTTAAATGGTATATTTTGTTACTGATTTCCATTTTGAAAATGTGTTAACAGTAAGAATAAAATGTGGCTTAGATAGTTTATATAATTTAGTTTTAATGCGCTTTAATTTAGAAAAAATTCAATCTTATTGTAAAATAAATTCAAATACAATTAAAATAATAAGACAACACACCGTCCTATGTTTGCCTCTTTTCCCATTTATTAGAAAGCCAAAGCCATCTGGTTCTCTTCAATGTCGATTTTCTTCTTTGTGTTGTTTGTTTATTTCATTGTGTGACTTGTGGCTTAATATTGTTTATTCAATTTTGCTTATGCTTAGGTAACATAAATGACTATCGACACGACAGAAAATCTCTACTTTTTTAACCTATCGTATTCCTCAAACATTTTCTTCAACAAAAGTTAATAGTAAATTAAATGTTACAACGATAGCGGCAATAACAACAAATTACAAACAGACACAAAAAAAAACAACAATAAAAAAAAACAAAAACAAACACGAACAACAATAACAACAACAAATTAAAACAAAAAAAATAACAATTTAAGTCCGCCTTTAGGAACAAAATTACTCTGCAGTACCAATTAAACACAATCAGCTGTACATGTGATATATCTTTATATTAATACACCGTTGACTGCTAACAGTTTCTAGTTAACTCAATATTAAATATTTGTAAATATTTGACAAATCTGCCAATGCCTAGCTTCAATATGATAATTATCTGCCAGTTAGAATACTAGTACACTTTTTTACACATACTGTATCACATAAAAACTACATGCATTAATTTTTGATTAGAATTATTAAGAACAATTAAAACAAAAGAAAACATAACTTTTACTTTTCAATAGAATTCGATTATCCATGCACCTTAAATGAGAAAAAAATCAAGCAATGGACAACATGCTTTCAGCAACAACATAGAAAAATATTTTAAATGTCTAACTCCCCAGATAGTTTTCAAGAATTTTCAATTGAATTAACTTTAAATTTGTTTTTACGAAAGAAATTGTCTTTCCATTATCACATTTAAGGCGTTTTGTCTGTCAATCTGTAAACTTTATGTATTGTGATTTATTCCGTTCAGAACAAAAGAATGTAGTTTTCAGGCCGCGAGATCTCATAAACATATTGAGCCGCGTCACGACAAAACCAACATAATGTGTTTGCGACCAGCATAGATCCAGACCAGCCTGCGCATCCGCGCAGTCTGATCAGGATCCATGCTGTTCGCTTACAGACCCTATAACAAGTAAAGAAACTGATAGGCTGGTCTGGATCCATGCTGGTAGCAAACCCATTATGTTGGTTTTGTCGTGACACGGCTCAATTATTAAAACGCGTGTGATTAATGGTTTCTATTAGAAAAGAGAGAGTTTAAATACGGGAAGGCGTTTTGTGAAAGCGGGAGTTGAATGAAAACTTATTGTCTCTTATAGTATCAATATTTGTATTGTTTGACAGTGAAAATTTTGTTTACATAGAACAACGGACTCTTGCGGCAGTGAACTTTGAAAAAGTGTCTGTATTATAATGAGATCCAATATAGAAAATTGTATTTGCATTTTCTTGCCTGAAGACAAATCAAACATATTAATATGGTTTAATGAGAGACATTATTTTTCACTTTGATTCAATTAAAGTTCAATTAAATGAAATGTGGTATTTTTTCTCAAAATGTGTCGCTTGGTTGAAACAGTACCTAACATTATTGATTAAAGAGTTCTGAAGTTAAATAAAGAGTTTTTATACTTTACTAATAACTAATGCATTATTTCTAGTTTTTGTAACTGATATCGAATCATCTCACTATGTAATCTAGATCCGATATTAGTAATCATGGTTTTATTCTATAATATCGGATCAGAAGCGCCACCTTGCGACCAATTTGTCTCAGAGGACTCCTTCACAAAGATCATACCATAAAAAGCTGCCAGCATTCATTATTGTAAAAATGAGAGCTTAATCTAATTTTAATCCTCTTGCTGAATAATGTATCTTATTTCAGCGGAACAAAAGTGATGATTATTCCAGGCCATGTTTTCATCAACCATAACGCGTAGTTTGTCTTCTCACAAACTAGACACAAGAACAAAATCTTATAAAAGAGAAAAAAAAAGAAAAAAGAAAAACAACAACAACAACAACAAAAGAATAAAAGTAATCATATTTCAAATAAAAGCTAATACGGTATAAAACGTACACTTCTGTTTGCTACATGTATCAACGATAGTTATGAACATATACATTAAACTTCATACTGCTTACTTTTATCAATTTCTTTTGTTTATGATTATGAATATTACATTATTTAACATACAGAATGTAGCTACAAAATGAGTTGAAAACATATGCATTTTTATGTTTACCTCAATGATTGTGTTTATATAATTAATTAAACAGAAGTGATGTGATATTCTGTTCTTTTTTCATGAGCAAATACCTGTTTTAACTTCGTCTGGACGATTAATGTATTTTTAACATATGGTTGAAAAGAAACTCAATATTAAATAATTAATATTTGACGAGAGCAACGGTTCCAATATTTCGCTCCATTTGCTCTGCCGCGGAGAATTCACAGTGTTCTCTCATAACCAATACTCCGCATATGGCTGCTGCACGCGCTAACGGAGCATGCGCACAGTCGGATTTTACCAGAATGTTGCAGACGATAAAACCTGTAAAACACATACGTTCTATACTTAGCTACTGACCTTACAAAATATGTGACCTCTTCGGGAATATTGTTATTTTTCTTGGTCAAAAATGGCCTTCAATTGGATAATTAAAGGATATTTACTCTATGTGTGCATTTATATATTGGAAATTAAATCTTCAGAGGGAGGTAAGACCAGTTAAATAACTTTTCCAATTCATCTTTAAAAGTTTTCAAACTTTCATAAAGAATTACTTGAAACGATGCCAGTTCTGTACAGTTTAGAGATAAAGTAGTTCGCTTCCTGCCAAGAGTGTTTCTTATTCACTCTGACGTGAGTGTGTGAATAAAAAATACATATCTATGAATGGTATCTTCTGAACCTTTGTTTTCTCGAGGTAATACAATTATAAGAATAATTTACGTTAGTAAATCGAATATAAAAATCAAATTGTGTTAGCTTATTTTGGCAAGAGCCCCTGGTTCCTTTCACGATCATTGCTTTTTAGTCATGTTGCTGTAAAATATTTTGCATTCGGCATAGTTTGTTTGAATAATTTTTTTTACTTATAATTGGAATGTTATAATTGGATGTTCTACAGATGTGTTATTTTTTAATGATTATGCTCCCATTTTATGCATTGTAATTATGAAACCCCATCAGTGGTGTACTTACCATATTTTATAATAAATAAATATTGTGCACTGACTCTATGAATAAACTGAAGTTGTAAATAAGTATGTAATTAATTGGTAGAAGTTCACGTAAGTGGCATGTATATCAAAGAGTTGGGAGTTTATTTATAGCAAGTGTCTATGTAAAAAGATATGGAACATTAACTATAGGTGTGGCGTAATGAAATATCCTGTACTTCCTCCTTCCCCTGTAGATTTTGGATATGATTAAAACTCTTTGAGAGCCTGGATAATTTAAACAGCGGGGATGTAATTAAAAGCATTTTTGCTGGGTTATCTCAAAATATTTCTGCGCGTTCTTGTGGAGCAGAGCGTTCGTGGATAGAAGTCTGAAGGCCTGAGCCAATGAGAATTACCATGTTCATGTTTTTGTTGTTTTTTCTTTTGTGTATTTTTTTCTAAATTAATTTCAATCATTAAATAGCGTTGGCTTCTTCATTAACATTCATGAGAAATTACAGATGATAAAATAGATTTTAACCAAGAAAACACATAACACTATCATTATGAAATATTTTGAATGAGAAGCCACATGATATCCTGTTTATTAATATGAAAATTTCCTAAGGATTTAATTAAAAATCATCGTTTTCATTCTTCATTATTAAGTAACGCGTCATCTATCAAAATTGATCTCATTTTGCGCGTAGCGTTTGTAACTTAACGATCCTGAAGATTTATTAGGTATGACTACAATATTGTTTCAGTAATTATTACAAATAGTTTTATTCGTGTTCTTTTATGTTAATGTATTGCGTATTAGTTTGTCCTTATGCTGACAATTTCTCACAACGACAATTTCTCTCTTTGAAGTATATACAAGTGATTTGTTACTTATAATTAAGTTTCTGTTCACGCGCGGAAAAGAAGTGTTAGTTAGGTAAACAATTTCTTTAGGTTTCTAAAAGTAAAAAGAAAAATTAATCCGCCTTTGCTTATGGGAACGTTTTTGTTTAAATTTCTTTTTAATTTTCTTGCCTGTTAAAAGTGCAAAAACAATAAGCCTTTTATTATATCAAACGTTCATTAGACTTGTGTTGAAGCGTACATGAACTATTTCGTAACCGAATTATTTATATATTATACGCAAGCTGTAATGAGGAAAGCATATTATTTTGTTATTATATGAGATACTTACGGAAAATGCACGGGTAAAATCATTGTTATTACTCGTGCTTATCCGCACTAACTGAATATATAATGATAGTTATATGTTATAGACTAAACACACTGATTACTAGTAATGATAAGGTATATATACAGGTCAGTGTTATTATATGGAATTCATTATCTGACTTCTGTGGCTCATAAAACGATTATTTATAGCAGTAAAGATAGGCAATCTCGTCCGATGTTTAACATATGTGTGTATTTCAAGCTACAGAAATGTTTGTTCAGTAGAAGAGCAATCTGTTCTGTTCTGATCGTAATCTATCTTAAAACCTCAAGTGCTTACGTAATATTGAAAACAAGTATATTAGATGTTTTAGCGGTTTGATTATTAAAGTAAAGTACAATGTACGTTTTCTTAATTTTTTTGTGCGTGTTTTTTTTCACAATTCTTATATTTTTACGAACAGCTCCATAATCTTGTGGGTTTTTATCTGTCTTTTTCTTTTTCTTAACAATTCTTCCTATATTTACGGACAGAGCCAAAATCTTAAGTTAAAGCATGTGTCAGAAACATTTTGCAGATGGCGTCTGGGCACAGTTGTTTAATCAAGTCTATGCGAATATATGAAATGTTTTGAATTAATTAAATCTGCACACTTTTTAAACCTGCACCCTGCAGGCTTTAATCCATCAGCACACCGTACTTGTGTCGGATATATTTTTCTTTCTCTTTGTGTTTAAACTTCTGCACGTGTATAATTGTAATATAACACCGCCGGAAGCAGTTACTTTGTACCGTGTTACTGTGTCAGATCGATTAATTACTGGTTACTACCGTAACATAACTTTATTTACGTCTGCTAATTAAAGTTGTGATGATATTAAATACTAGACGAACAATCAAGAGCATTATGTCAAAACCTAAATGCGCTTAATTTGATTGAAGTAATGTCTGTTATACTACATAAGATGGTGTAGGATTTATGGAATATCTTCGCCAATTATTTGCCTGTTTAAGCACATCTGGTAGTAATTATTGGACGAGTTTTCCGTGCCTGTCTTCACCCTATTCAAAATCTCCTGTTTTCTCACGATGCTAATTTCGCTCATACAAAGATGTGTATTGTGATATAAGTGTCCAACGAAGAATTAATTTGTATGTTTTCTTTCCCAATATAAGTGTACTAATAGGAAATAAATTGATTTCTTAAATTCATTTAACCATTAAAACCCCTTCATTTTCTTTCGTTTTTTTGCAAAGCTGGATCAGGTACACGTAGTAAGAATCAAAACGTTATCATTTAACATTTTTATGTAATGATACCCACAAATTAAACTATAGGATCAATAACAATTATCGATAAAGTAATAGCTGATTATAGAGATCGATAGATAAACATGTAGAATAAATTGATACGGTTACAACGCCACTTCAATTTATTGTGATTGTAATTAACAATCGTTAATGATCTTGAAATGTGTTTTATAACCGTTTTACGATCTCAGCATGGCGTCATATAATCTTCAAGTGTCGAGCAGATGAAAAGCTTTGGACTTTGTTGAAAGTGGGGACAATTGACATGTTTGCAATGAAATGAAAATTTAAAATCCTAGCCCTGGTGTCAGTGACATATGCTGTAGCAATAAAAGATGAAATACCGTTATTGTAGCTATCCATTTATTACAAACAAAAGAAAATATAGACGACAGAAAAAGTCGTTTTTTATTGTGAGTTATATAAAATCTGACTAAATAAATCAAGAAAACCTTGATGCTTGTGTTGAAAATTCAAATCTATTCTCGAGTAATAATTTAAATATTTTATAAATTTCCCCCGTCATAAATTCAATCAGAATACTTTATTATCTACATCTAATAAAAAAATTTGCAATGATCAGAAAAAGTACGTAAACTTGGCACTAACAGACCAATAAATGTGTGAAATGGTTGAAGAAAAGATATTAAAATGAAGAGGGAGATGTATATTAAATTGTTTTAATGGTGAATTTAGGTAGATTCATACTGCGTTTCATGGCGCCAAAAATGTTTATAAACTTGAATATGAACTGAATATAGTGATATGTTGATAACTGCAGAACAAATAAAAACAAACAAGTACAACATTAAGGAAGGGAAAGGACAGTAAAGTATTATATTGGTATAAACGAAAGCAGTAAATATTATGTATAAAGTACTGCCAACGATCAATTACTATATTGGAAGTAATATATCAAAAAAGATCACCGAATAATGCATATATAATGGTCAAATGCGCAAGATAACAGCTTAATATCCGTTCGTCGTTTTTGTTTGTGTTTTTGTTTGTCTATAATATTTAGTGGAACAGCTCTTGAAAAAAAACCGTAATAGAATAATTCTTCTGTTGAAGTGTACTTTTTCAGCTGCGCTGCATGATATTTATAACTTTCACGAAGAAAAAATAATCTTATAACAGATACATCTATTCAGGTCTTATTGAATTAAATCATAGTTTCTTTTGGTTTGTTGCTTTTAAGATGTTAAATTCTATATGTCTTGAAGCTTTTTTTGCTAGTCATAAACCTTAATATAAAATCTCATTTTGTAAAATGAATTATGTTTCTTTCATGACACGATGTTGCTTTTTTGCGTAATATAGAGACAATATCCCTAAGTAATGTTGTATTTTGCTTTGTAAAATCGTGATTTTTCTTCTATAACATACTAATTCTCATATTTAAACTAATATTCAGAAATAATCTCTAAAACTTATAAAAACCCGACCATTTCAGATTTTCATTCAAGTCGACTCAACTGAAAACGGTTTGTCACTTTACATCGAAACACGTGATTAAGTACCTTTATACGAGTATTAAATTATATTAACTTAAAAATAATGTAGAATGAACGTTTTTCGGACAATACGTGCCTATATAGTAAGGACGGAGAGAAGACCTTAAAAGGTGTAAGACGTATACGCGCCATTTATGTCTCATTAGTAAGAAAAGTTCTGTAGTAAGTTGTCTGCTGTAAGGTTTCACACAGCTTATTATGTGGTTGATTTCAACAACTGTCGCTGTCAGGAGGGAACTTTTAGGTGGACTAATTGTATTTTCTTGCCAATTTGCACGACCGAAGTCTGAAGTAATTTGTAAAGATATTGATAGATTAAGGTTAACAATCGTCATTTATGTTTGATGTTTACAAGTTAAATAGAAAAGACGAAAAACGCGCCGGGTAGAAAAAGAAAATAATTGTATAAATCATACAGAAAAAGATTTGTCCTTATTGGTATGTGTATTAAAATTGATGAAAATTGTTTAAAACAGCAGTTAGAAACAAAAAAGGTTTAATGTTTGACATTGTTGGAGTGGAATGATAATCATGCCTTTCTGTTTTGA